CATCCATTTATATTGAGAGGCTTTTTTCTTTATGTTTACGAAAATGGGATCATGTTCTCTATAACTTATATACGTTTTCTGTATACCTTGTTTCTCCTTGAGCAACATATTTTGAATTTAAGTTACTACTAAAGTTAAGTTAATACTAAAACATCTAATTTCCACTTTTTAAAAGCTGTATACTTTTCCAGAGACTAGATGGATCCCAAGTTATTCAGCCACCCCCGTGTTGATAGACATTCAGATTTTTCTATTTCTGCTATTACCAAGGATGCCCAAACAGTGCCAAGTTGTAGTACATGCTCAACAAATATTTGTAAATCAAGAAGTGAATGCTAGAATAAACATACTTGTACTTAAATCCATAAGAAAATGAGAAATTTAGAAAACTATCTTTTCCTCTCCATTCTATCCATGGTTTCACTTAACCAAAGCATAGATACTTAATCAGTGAAAAACAGTGGTGAAAAATTTTTTAAAATTTGGCTCCAAATCATCTGTGGAATGTCAATGTTTAAAATAGAGAAAAGCAGGCCTGTTCTGGCTGAATCAGAGTTCCACCCTCTGTGGCAACTCCCGAGGCATCTCCATGGACTTCTACAGAAGAGAATTTGAAGCGGTTTGAATATGACGCGGTTAATTAACTCCACACTCCTATCCTTTATAGCACCTTCTGCACTAAATCCCACCAAACACTATATTTAGCATTTTTCCAAGATTACTTACACGGAAAGCAAAGTAAAGTATTATGCTTTCTTTTTTCTAAATTCTCACTTAAATGTAAATATTTACCTGTTACTTCTGTTGCTCACAGATTATACCCTTCTATTTTGGAAATGAGTAGCAACATTCCTGAAAACTCACAACCGAAGCTCTGGCTTTGATATTTGTGAAATTACTAGGAGCATTTTCACTGAAAAAATAATTTCATAGCCAATACATGCCATTAAAACAGTATTTGAATTATTTCAAGTTTAGGCGTTGGCCTCAGAAATGCTGTGTTTCAAACAGAACAAAAATTGTCAGTCTAAAAATATAAAAAAATCTAAAACTACTTGTGTCTATACTTGTACCACATAAATATAAAACGTTTAAAATAGCTTTCCAGTAACAACTTCTATTTCAACTGTGTAAATATCAAGATATTTTCTTAGCCCACTGGTTACAAACGTATTGCATTTTCCTGCTATGTTGCCACTCTCTGGCAGGTTCCATAAAACTAGATTGAATCTGTATATTTTCACCTCTAAAGTATGCTTATCATCAGCTAGTGTGACAATACTCTCACTAGAAAATCTGCTGAGGCCCCCAAAACACAAAAACAAAAAACTTATTTAACTGGCCATTTTTCTCGCCTAGAAGGACACATAATACGAGAATTGTCACGGGAAACACATATAGGAAATCCTTTGTTAATATATATAGTTAGATAAGTGTATCCTCAGGAGAAGAAAAAAATTTCTCCTGCAAAAGTGTAAACCTTAGGAGTAAGAATATCTATAACAATTATATTAATTTTTACTTTAAATGGAAATTTAGATTCTAACAATATGGAAATTAGATAAATTATTTCTTTGCTAATTCCCTGGAGGGTTAAGGATAACAAACAATTGATATATCTTTGATGAAAGTGGTGTCCAGCATCTCACTAAGAGCAAAATGTTATAAGTGAATTGTTACAAATCCTATCAACGGGGTATTGTCCTAAACTGTGATCCTTTTGAGAAGGGACCATATTTTGTTAATTTTTATATTCTCAGTCACTGACACAGACCTACTGTGTGTAAGTGCTCAATAATCATTTAATTAAAAACATTTACTTTATTAAAAGGATGACTTTCTTTTCTTATGACTTATATTCATATTAACACTAACGTGAAACTCCATAATTAAATAATTGTTGATGCACTTTAATACATGTTAGATTTGCAAAGTAGCAGTATACAATAATCACAGCTTTATTATTTGGTAACAATGGTAACAGTCACACCATTGTTCTTTCCTGTCACTGAGTCATCTTTTCATACTGTTGTCAGTGCCTCCATCATGATAGAATCTTGGTGCCCCACGACTACATGCAATTTATACGGCAAAAGAATATTTGTCCTAGGGTAGAGTACACACATTTTTGTCCATGTGATGGGAAATTTTTTTTGTGGATTAGTGGGTTAGCCTCCCGGCTGTAAAGCATTAGAAAGAATGAAGCGTGTAGGCTTTGAGTCCTTATCCTGGGATAGACTTAGGAACTTTTGCCTTTGAAAAGGCTTGAATTATCTAAGGGCTTAGAAGAATCTCAGAAACTTGGAGACTGGGGAAACCAAGTTGGCCTGAACCAGAAGTAGTTGCCCTGACAGGGAGGAGAGAAACCAACGACTGCGTGCAAGGGTGACAGGGACAGTTTCCTCCAGTGAAGAGCAATGCCCTGCATCCACGCAGCCTGCTGGAGGTGAAGGGCCTGAGTGTGTGGGAGCTACAATGAAGGCCTCCTGAGCACCTGAGGTGGGGCCTGAGGTGGGGCCACATGCCTTTAAAGAGGACCAGAGGACTTGGAGAAGAAGCAGCTTGGGGGTGTCCAGAGGCTTTGTCCCTATTTACCGGGCACTGCAGGGTTACAGTACCCCAGATGCTTGTGGAACCCAGGGTGGGGCCCACACAGTATTCTTTAGATTGAACTTCTTATCTTGGTGGAGTGAAAGGTTGGATTTGGTATGAGTTTTTAAAACAAAGTAGTATTGTCTTTTTTATACCCAGATTTGTATATTTCCTGATTTATTTTCAGTATATCTTTATCAGAAAAAAACCATTGAACGAAGTATTCAAGAAACACTTGGTGATCAACTATATAACAATGACGCCCTCCCCACGAGCATCCCGAGGGGTCTATGATACAATTCTTTCGTGGCAAAGCAAAGTGAATAAAATGTATGCAACCCTTGCTCCTCTAGAAGTTCATAATCAGAATCTGTATCTGCATATTGCCAGTCATCTAGACACGCCAAATACAGCAGTCCCCCTAACATCACCACGGCTCTGGCCATATTATATCTCCAAATGTAGTTATAATTTAAAATAAAAAAACTCATATAATGCAGGCCTTTTATACCGTTAGAAGCCATCCTTTTCTCCTCCACGATCTTAAAAAGGAATTCTAGTATTTTCATTCAACAAAGGTACAGTCCTGATTACTATGTGGAAGCACTGTTTTAGGTGATGGGATTACAGCAATAAAAATGACTGCCCGCATAGAGCTTACATTCTGGTAAGTACAACAAATAAACATTTAACATAATGTCAGGTAGAGATAAGTGACATGAAAAAATACAGTAAAGAAATAGAAATTGGTGTGAGAGTGGCTGTGAGAGGTGCTATTTTAGATAGGATGACATTGCAGACTTCTTGACATAGTATCTGAAAACAGACATGAATTAAGTGGGGAGCAAATTATGGGAGGGTCAGCTGGGAGAGCATCATTCCCGGCAGGGTGAACAGCAACTGGAAAAACTTTCAGAATAAAAAAAGCATGGGGAGAAATGTGAAGAGCAGTCAGGAAACACCATATCTGGAATAGACTAGTTAAAAGGAAGCATACAGGAGCTAAGTTCAAAGAGTCAGGCAGGGGCCGGACCATGCAGGTCTTATAAGTCAAGGCATAATTTTGGCTTTTATTCTGAGTGAAATAGGAAGTCATGTGGACACTGTGTGATAGATTAGCTAGAGTGGAAGCAAGGAGACCCGCCAGAAGGCTAATGCATAATTGAAGCTAAAGATGATGGTGGTAGAGAGCAATGGAGGTGGGAAAAAGCAGACAGGTTGGAATACATTTTGAAAACCAAGATGACAGAACTTGCTAATAGATTAGCTATGGAGAGTGAGAGAAAGGGAAGAATCCAGAATGAATACTAAGTTTCTGGCCTTTACAGCTGGATGAATAGAAATGCCTTTTACTGAGATGGAGAACACTGGGGAAGAAGCTGGTCATGGGGACAATCAAGAGTTCTACTTTGGAAGAGTTGCCTATTAGATGATATGTCAACTAGACAGATAGATATACAAGTGAAATCTGGGGAGGTCGGGGCATTTAAATCCATGAGCTTTGAAGAAGAAACCCAGAACTCAAGTAGAGAAAGAAAAAGAGAACACAACTGAAGACTGAGCCCTGGGATGCTTCCACATTGACAGCCTGAGATGCAGCAGCAAGTGAATAGGAGGGAAACCAGGCAAACGCCGGGCCCTGGAAGCCAAGGGATGAAGTGGTCTCAAGAAGAAGAGATTGACCCGCTGTATCAAAAGCTGCATGTTGAGAAAAATCAGACTTGTTATTAGATTTGTCAAATTCTATAAGAAGAAGAAGACTGGTTTTAGTGAAGTTGTAGGTTCAAAGCCTGATTGGAATAAGTTAAGAAGAAAATAAGGGGTAATGAAACAGCCACTAGCAGAGCCAACTCTTTGAAAGTGTTTTACTATAAAAATGAACCGGAAAAAAGCATGATTTCTAGAGGAGTATTAAGAGCCAAGTATGGTTTCTCTTTTGTTTTGTTTTATTAAGAAGGGAAAGATCACAGCATATTGGCATATTGATGAGATTACTCCAACAGAGAGCAGAAACACTGACTACACAGGAGAGAGAGGATTTTGGGAGTCAAGATCTCGAGTAGGTGAGAGAAGATGGGATCCCACGTGTAAACTATGGGATTCACAAGAAAAGAGAGTCTGCCAGCTGCATCAGGAATGCAGACTTTCCCTGTGTCCAGGCCCAAGCAGGAGAGTAGGTTTGACAGCAGGAGCACCTGGAAGACCTCTTCAGAATGCTTTCAGTCTTGTTTTTGTTTTGTTTTGTTTTTTTTTTCAGGAAGATTAGCCCTGAGCTAACTGCTGCCAATCCTCCTCTTTTTGCTGAGGAAGACTGGCCCTGAGCTAAGATCCATGCCCATCTTCCTCTACTTTATATGTGGGACGCCTGCCACAGCATGGCTTGCCAAGCGGTGCCATGTCTGTACGTGGGATCCAAACCAGGGAACCCCGGGCTGCCGAATCGTGTGTGCACTTAACTGCTGAGCCCCCGGGCGGGCCCGGAATGCATTGAGTTTTTAACTGAAATAGGCACCAAGGCCATAGACGAGAATGACGAAGGAGGAGGAGGCTTTCAGAAGTCTGAGGAAAGAGGAAGTTGTGATACGGTTGTCTCAGAAAGTAAGAAAGTAAATTGACGTTGGAAACACTTTGTTCTCTATCTCTGCAGCCTCTATCAAAACCCCAAGATAATAACAGTCACAAGTGAGATGACTGTATTTTTCTCTTTATTCAGAAAGTGCTGTGGCTGCCTGGCCAACAGCCTTTCTCCAGCCCTTCCTAGTTTTTAGTCTTGAGTTTTCCTCGCACTACTGAGGCTGAAATTCTAGAAACCAGCTTCCTATTTCCTTTTCAGGTAAGGCTTTGCTTCTTGCGTTTGGCAAGAAGACCTGAGGAGAAGTTCATTTTGGGGGGTGGGGAGTAGGATTAGGAAATATTTTCTTCCTTGGTAAGAGGGAGATGCCCGAAGAGAAGCTCTTGCAGCCTTTGAATTCTGATGAGCGGAGGTATGGAGTGTGGTGCTGCGACAGACATCTTACCTCACTGAGTGGAATCCGGGGGCAGTGCATTCAGGTGGCCAGAGCTGTGTATTGCTAACTTGCTGAAATTCCCAGCCCCAGAATTTTTGCTACTATGGCTTTATTAATAAACCTCTATTGTTACAGTCACTTTTAATTTCTTTCTTGAAACTGATACTGATGTGGCCTTGGGTAGAGAAAATTAGGAAATGGTGCCACAACCAGTGAGTCAAAAAATAGTCAAGGGACCAGTCTGGTGGCATAGTGGTTAAGTTCACCCGCTCTGCTTCTGCAGCCCAGGTTTTGCAGTTTGGATCCCGGGTGCAGACCTATGTACCACTCATCAAGCCATGCTGTGGCAGCATACCACATTACAAAATAGAGGAAGGTGGGCACTGATGTTAGCCCAGGGCCTATCTTCCTCACCAAAAAAAAGGTCAATAGACCAATATCACAATTATATTCATTTTTTAATGATAAGAGAGTAAATCAAATGGTTTAAGTACTTTGAATTCTTCTGCATTATATGAATACAAAGTCTAATTCACCTTGTAAGGAAAATTGTTAGGATTTGATCTTTAAATCTCATAGTGTATCATACATGTTTTAAATTCACTGAGCTTATAAATACATACAACCTATGGCTGAAAGTTGATTCGAATAAAGGAGAGATATATGTCTAATAGAAACCAGTCTAAAATACTTTTAATTGTAAGAGTTATCACGAAGAAATTATTATTATTATTATTATTATTGAAATTATTATTGCCAGCAATCACTAAGCTTAAGAAGATCTAAAGTTGAAGGAATATAGCTGATGATGTTGAGCTGTCATTAAAAAAAAATCTTATTTTTTCATAATCCTTTCCTACTTTCTGCCGTGAGTAGATTGCCATTATCAAAATATAAGGATATTTGTGGATTTTACAGGGCAGCATTTCTCTATGTCTATAAGCCTTTCATTTTAGATTTTTAAAAAAATGGTGTGAATTGCTGGGATGGGGATAAAGAAACTCATTATAAAGAAAACCTGAACTGGTATGCGCTGGATTTCCCAGCACACTTGACTACCCTCACCTAGCTTTACTGAGTTTCTGATGATGAGTGGAGCATTGTCATTCTGAATGTGTTGCAATCTTAAGAATGTCTTTCACAATCTGAAAAATGCCTTATTCGCTACATTTAAAGGTAAACACCTTTTAAAAGGAAGCGCTTCCTTTCTTAAAAGTGTTATAGAGCCCATTTCAATCTCAAAAGCAATGATCTAAGGAGGTGGAGAAGAAAACAGTCCCTTTTATAGTAGTCTGCTTTTCTTCAGTGAGTTAGATCGTCTCAGCAATTGAGGGCTTTATAGCTCTATTTGTGGGAAATACGGCAGAAAGAATTCACGTAAATTCTAATTGTGTAAATTGCTGTTTCTTTGCTGTTTCTATTGCTATTGGCTTATTACCTGATATTTGTATACTTGATCTTTATGTAGTATCCCATTAATGTCAAAAAGAATTGCACATGCACACACAACAGAATTACATCGGCAGGAAGGAAAAGAGAGCACCTCCATGTATTTTCTCAGAAGCAGATTTAGCTTAAAAATACCTGTCAAGAACAATCAACAACAAATTCTGGACAACCAGTACTAGCATTAAAGGTCAGGGCTATTCCAGCCTCCTATTTTTCTGCATTGTATTCCCCAGATTAAATTATGGTTCCGGAGAATTTGATTGGTTGGAACAACTGAGGAACTCATGTCAAAATTATTTTCCCATAATACTCTCTGGCATATACATTTGTTTAAGTGGGCTAATTAGCAGAAACGTGAAACTTTTGAAGGTTAAATTGTGAAAATTCAGACCTAGAACAACCTAGAGGTCCATACATCATTTCCTGACACAGCAACATTTCACGGGGACACAGTTTAGGGGAGGTGAAGTCTCAGTGAACACAACTGAGCATTTTCCTTCCGCACCTGCAAGACCACAGGCAACCTGACCACACAAACATCCAAGTGGATAAACGTCTAACATAAAATTACAGATGTTTTAATACATCTGTATTCAGAATCCATATCTTTTAACTAATTTCGTTTCTTAGAATTATCATCTTTGGGAAATACTGAAGATAGGTATAAAGATTTTACTCCGTTATTATTGTTATCAATAACAGCAAAAATAGGAGGAGGAAGAGAATTACCTAAATAGCCAATAAAAGAAAATCTGGCTACAAAACAAAATGGTAGAAGCATACAATGGGATGCCATGCAGACACTAAAATTATGAAAAAATATAAATGACGTGGAAATATATTTGCAATATATTGTTAAGTACACAAGCAGGTTACAAAACACCGTAAAATACGATGTGTGTTTGTGTATTATTGGATTAATGGCTGTGTCTCCCACTTGGAAAAGGCCTGTGTTTTGCTCACTATGTCTAGCACAATGGCTGACATATAGTAGTCACTTGGTAAATATCGGTTTATATATATATATGTGTGTAGAAATATATGAGATTAGTGAGATTTATGATTGCAAGTGAGATAAATGAGATTTATTTCCTTTCTGTTTATGTTTTCTAAATTTTTTACAATGAATATGTATTACTTTTTAAAATACGAAGCTGTGTTTTACTATGCCGTTTGCCATCTGAATGTTTCCCATAGTTCCTTTTCCTCTTATCATTTCGACCAACATATGGCACTAATCCAAATGAGACATAACTTCCAATACCTGAAATGAAAAGAGATAACAAAGTGAAAATGAGGTAGAAGAACCACATAGAACAAACCTGCTGATGAGCTTGTGATGTTTGTATTTATTAATCTCTTAAATCAGCCCTGGATGTTTCCGCTTTTATATTTGTGTCGACAGAACTGAACCAAAAAGTGAATCGAGCCCTTGTTTCCTCAGAAGGCTTCTGGACAAGATTCCCTCATTTATATTTGCTAACTACTGTTCTCTTCCTGCTTTGCTTTAAACTTCAAATCAACTCTATTGATTTATTACGCTCATTTTAAATGTATAGTGCAATGAGTTTAACAACAGCATAATACACGCCTGGAACCACAGTCAAAATCCAGATTTAGGACATATCAGCCCTAAATTTTCCCATGCCCCTTTGCATTCAAGCCCCCTTCCCCACTACAGCACCCAGGCATCCCGTGATGGGCTTCTGTACTTTACAGATTCATTTTACCTGTTCTAAAATATTATGTAAGTGGAACCAGACAATACATACTTTTCTTGTCTCATCTCTTTAGTTCAACTAATTTTTGAAAATTTATCTCCATCATTGCATATATTGATAGTGCATTGCATTGTACGGCTGGGATTATTCTGTTGTGTGGATACCCACTAGCTTCTGTTATGAATTCACGTTTGATGGGCTTTTTAATTTTCAGCTTGTGGCTGTTAGAAATAACATTTCTACGCAAATTTTGTGAAGGCATGTTTTCATTTTACTTGTGTAAATATGAAGACACCACTTATTCAGTTATATAGGAAGAACCATTTAATTTTATAAGGAATGACCAAACCGTTTTCCAAAGTGATTGTAACATGTACGCTCCCTCCAATAACGTAAACATTCACTTTCTTGCCAATGCTTAACATTTTCTTTTTAATGGTAGCATTTCTAACTGGTGTACATTGGTATCTCAATGTGGTTTTAATTTGCATCTATTGAGATATTCATATATTTTCCCTTTACTCTGTTAATATGGTGAATTGTATTGATAGATTTTCAAATGTTGAGCCAACTTTATATTCCTGAGATAAACTCTATTTATTGCTGATTTATTAGCCTTTTAATATATTACTGGATTCAATTTGTTAGCGTTTTGTTAAAGGTTTTTACATCTTTAAACTGTAGTGTCTTTCTCCAGTTTTGCCATCAGGATAAGTCTGGCCTCAATAAATGAGTAAAGAGATGTTCGGACCTCTTCTCTTACGTGAAGTGGTGTGTGTAGCCTCAGTAGAATTCACAAATGAAACCCTCTGGGCCTGGGTTGCTTTTTGTAGGAATATTTTCAACTAAGAAACAAATTTTTAATAGATATAGGACAATTCAGATTTCCTCTTTCTTCTTTTCTGCATTTTGGTAATATGTGTTTTTTAGGGAATTTCTTCATTTCATCCAAATTATTGAATTTATTGGCATAGAATTGCTCATAATACCCATATTATCCTTTTAAAATTTGCAAGATCTGTAGTGATATTTCATTTAGATTTCTGATATTGCTAATACGTATCTGCTTTCTTGATTGCTTTATTACTCTAACTAGAAATGTATCAATTTTATTGGTCTTTTAAAATAAACAGCTTTTTTTTTTTATTTATTTTTTTTAAAGATTTTATTTTTTCCTTTTTCTCCCCAAAGCCCCCCGGTACATAGTTGTATATTCTTTGTTGTGGGTCCTTCTAGTTGTGGCATGTGGGAAGCTGCCCCAGCGTGGCTTGATGAGCAGTGTCATGTCTGCGCCCAGGATTTGAACCAACGAAACACTGGGCCGCCTGCAGCGGAGCGCGCGAACTCAACCGCTCGGCCACGGGGCCAGCCCCTAAAATAAACAGCTTTTTGTTTCATTAGTTTTCTCTATTGGTTGTTC